CAGTCATTTCTTCTTTGATTGGATTAGAGTACAAATGATGTTCTTCAGATTTGGAACTCTGAGTATCTTCTTCATCTTCACTTTCTTCTTCTTGACTTTAGAAATAAGCAGAATACACTGTATGTCAAGGCAGCAAGAGTGTATCACATTTTATAGTCCGCATATTTTATTATTCACTGTCTTAGAGCTTAAATAACATAAGCAAAACATAATACAATTCATACCTCAAGCATTTTTTGCAAAATATTCCGTCAATATTTTATAGACAATTTTATAAAACACTTCTTTCCTCACAGAAAAAGTTTGAGCTTTAACATAAACATACTTTAATAGATTCTGCTTATGTTAATGCTATCTGTGTGCCTTCCATTTGCAACAAACTTTCCTTGCACCCGTTAAATGAAATGAATAATCAACAGTTTCTGCATACTTCACAGTTCAGAGTGATTTCAAGAAGCTTTATGTTTTCCATTCCTGAGTTACTTCACTCATATTGTGAGTAACAATATTCAAAAATATTGTACGTTCTCATTTATAAGTGAGAGTTAAGCTACGAGGATGCAAAGGCATAAGAATGATACAAGGGACTCCTGGGACTTGGAAGGATAGGAGGGGCTGAGGAATAAAAGACTATATATTGGGTACAGTGTATACTGCTCAGGGGACAGGTACACCAAAATCTCAGTAATCACCACTAAATATCCATGTAACCCAAAACCACTTGTACATCAAAAACAATGAAAATGAAAATTTAAAAAAATAAAAAAAGATTTATGTGTGCCTTTAGTAATTTCAGCAGAGCCTATAATCAATCTAGAAAACACATGAGCTTGAGTCACAGAGTTATTAGGAAATAAGCAATACAGCTAGTAAAGACCTTATGTTTAGCACATAACCTTAACAATAAAGCAATGTATACATTTCACATATTAGCAAATATAAGTATTCACATTTTAGTTGATTCTGAAAGTTGCACTGGTTCTGAGTCAGACAAGAAGAAAATAAAAACCTGAAAGACAGTCATGAGTAAGTCACTTAGGATACAAAGAAGAAAATTTTTCCTGTCCTTCCAGAAGCAGTCTAGTGGAAACACAAACAGGCAACTATGTGTAAAGCTGGTCAGTCATCAGTACTAGTACAGGAGTAACAAAGTGTTTCTGAAGCACAAGAATGAATGGGTTTTTTTAAAAAAAATGTTTTATATTCTGGGACTAGGTGGTGTGTGTGTGTGTATATTATCGTCAAATAAATCTGGGCAAAACAAGATACCCACGTACAAACAAACTCAGAATGTTTATGTATATACAAACAAAATTCCTTATAAACAATGTTGACTGTGATAACAACATTACTGGCATAACAGAACAAATGCTATTTTGCCTTTGAAACTTGAACCTTGCAAGCCCTTCTATGGTTAGTATTTGGGTACTAAGTACATTCTACAATAAGCAGAAAGATTCCTTTTAATATACATGTAGAATCATTCCTAATAATGTAAAAACAGTTATAATCAAATTCTTTCCAAATAAAGTTTAATATAGTAAGACTTTCATTGTATGAGAGAAAAATTTAAGCCAGGCAGATGAAAAGAAAGTGCAGTCAATTCGGAATCGGAAAAGATATAATATGAGAAAAATCTGATACTAGCTTTTAAATTTCTCACCTACTGGCCCTTTCTAGACATTACTAAACTGTTTTACTAACTTCATCTTCAGAACTCCACAAATCATTAATACCGCCATTACAGGCACAACTCAATACCTATATTATTAGTATTAGGAATCCTAAGTAAAAAACAACAGTTAAAAAATATTCTTTTTGGAAAAAAGAATATTTTTACCTAATATTTCCATTAATTTGTCAAAAATTTCCTAAATATAGTTTTTAATTTTTTTCAAACACAAGAATTTCCTGTTTTATGGTACATAAAATTTTACAAGTGTTTCAGATGCTTTTAAATCACTGAAGTGTGTGTGTGTTTATGTAAACAGGGATGTTTACTGAAGAATTATTCTAAGAGTCAATAAGGACGTGATTTCATTAAACTGAGTCAGTTACTATGAATCAATAATATAGCAGATATTGATTAGTTAACCAATTCTAGTCTGTTAAATTTCTTTTTTTTTTTTTTTTGCAATTTCAAATATTCCTTGGTAAACATTCTTGTATGTTTGCCCAAATGTCTGCTTTCAATCATAGATGAATACAGAATGGGTAAATAGATGGATTAAAATGGAATAATATCATTTCAATCATGGATGAATACAGAACAGGTAAATAGATGGAATTAAAATGATAAAGGTGTCACAACAGTATGTACAATAGTATTACGTCATTCATGTTCAAATAGCTATCCATGTTTTTATTTACACAGAAAGGGTCTAGATGGCTGAACAAACATTTAACCATAATACTTGACTTTTAAAATTCGCTCTATTCATGATTTAAAATATGTAAATATTTTAAATTACTACTATAATTTTTTCAAGGCCTAAGCAGTTTTTCTCAACTGGTTTTGGCCTTAGCTTTAGTCACAATTTGAGGTTCAAATCTTATCACAGCTTATTCCTCTTGTTCTTTTTTTAAAAAGACATGCAAGTTCAAGATTCTAAATTCATACAGTATTCAGTACAAATGAAACTGCTTTTGTAACTTTTCTCCAAAACGTACTTTTTTAAAAGCATATTTCTGCCACAAATCACAATATTGCCACAAAACACAGTAATTACTAGTTACAAAATCAGCCTTAAGTAAAAAGGCATTTCTGATTCAGCCACTAGAGAGTAGTAGTGAGGCATGAGAATGCCCATTCAAGGATCAGAAGCTGTATGCGAAAGGTTTTTTTTCCTTGCTTTGTACTTTCTACTTTTTTACATTATTACGATTTATCTGGAATTCCTAAGAAAAATGAAAAATCTAAAATTATACTTCTAGTGATCCAGGCTTCCATCAATGTATGATTATTCCAACATCCATGTTAAAATGTACTCATATTCCAAACATTAACACAAATATCAGTTTTACACCAATAACACTAATACCTTTATAGAAATAAAACTAATGAAACAACACTTTTTTTTCAGTTCAATGACTTTTCTACCCTGCCTTCCCCCCAAATTAAACAATTATTTTGATGAGTACATATACTACTTTTAAAGCAGTGATTCTAAAATGGTAAGATGCCACTGATAGGATCATGAACATAAAAAGGGTTCAGAAAACCACTTTTTTAAAGCAAACTGAACCAAACTGTTTCCAATTTGTGCATTCCTAAACAGCCTCAGATAGCTATTTCTAATGGCAAGCCACATCTATATTTTGTAAATATTTTGTCATAATCACTGCTGACTTGTTCTAATCATACCAACATTTCTGGAAAAACGTCATTGTAGACAGGTTTTTACCATCATATCAAACTGTGTTTCTATAACCTGGGGATTGATCACATTTTCCCAACAATCCAAATGCCCATTTATTACATCCACACAAATGCCCATATTGTGCTAGGACACACCAGCTTTCTCTTATTTGAGAACAATAAAAGAATGCAAAATTTATAAAGGCAGAAACCTGCGCTGTGTGTTTGTGATACCGTCACTTCCTACTCATAAAAAAAAAAAAAAAAAAAAAAAAAAAAAAAAAAAAAAAAAAAAAAAAAAAAAAACAAAACAAAACAAAAAAAAAAACCCCATTGCAATTTTAAAAAGTGTCAAGTACTTCCTAAAAACTACCAATACAAATTTGCAAAAGAATTTGAGAGCAGAGATGCCTACAATCACAGTGTCAAATACAAAAACAATTTTGGGGTGAGTAACAAACAGCAAAATCAAAATTATTCTTTCTCCATATTTCAAAAGAAATTTTTTTTCCCCTCTGTATTCATTCTTAGTTCTTCTGAAAGGTTTACATTTAAATAACACAATCTCCCTACTGCAATATTTTTCTTAGCAATGTACAATCCAAAAGAAAAGGAGTATAACCTTTCCTACTCACATTTTACAAACCACTTTTTGTGGAGCCCAAAACAGCATTTGATGGCAAAGGTTTGAAACAAATGCAGTTGATCAATTAGTAACTACACAGTGAGAATGTAACCTAGCATAAAAAACTCAAAAGCAAAATGAAACCAGATGCATCAAGACCAGAAAACAAAAGCTCTTTTATTCACTGGAAAACCAATGGAGAACTAAAAATAATCCTCTCACAAATTTTTTTAACAGTTAAGTTTTCCACTTCGCTATTATTTCAACTACATGAAAAGGGGAGTGTATATGAACAAGAAACAGTATATTCGAAACTTAGATTCTTACTTTTGATTTTCTTCTTCTTCTGATTCTTCATGCTGGTCAAATAATTCCCATTTAGAAGTTGTAACAGCTGAATGGAAGGAAAAGGAGAATGTAATTCCATGAGGTAAACTAGCATTTTTGCAGTAGCACAGTGGAAGCTCAAGCTTTAGAACTGAAAAGTTTGTATTACAGAAGTTTTTTTTTAATCTATGTTTATCAATTCTCTAAATGGCTATTTCTATGTGCCAAATCTCTTTCATCACACCAACAGTATAATTCAAATTCATGAAGTGACGAATAATGCCATTCTTATTTCTGTGCTGAATGTTAAGATGTATTTCATTAGAACCTAAAAACAGTAACAATTACAGATTATTGGCACTAGGATACAGGTCTAAGTAAGTGTGAAAGGCAGGTCTAAACGGCATCTAATCAGTCTAGCATTATGAGAGAGCCAAAGCTTGGTAAAAGCTTGGTTTCTCTGAAACAGACCTCTGCACATTTCTACATAGGTACAGCTTCCCATCTACGTTTGCTACTAAAATGCCTTAACCTAAAAGCTTTGCAGTGGTATCTTATTATTCTCAAAGCTTCCAAACTGAAGGACCTAAGAAAATTGTAACAGCAACACCAATCACAATAAAAGTGTACACTAGACACAAAATACGGTAACACTGAGTATTAAGGTTAAAACATGTTATAAAACATAAAAGGAAATTATATATATAAGCACACCAATAATTAATTTATAAGTACTTAATTTTAAAGTATTTATTTTACTTTTACTTACCCTGTGCTTCCAATTCAGATTCATCCACAGCTTCCCATTTTGATGGGGCAACTTTAAATATAGGCTCATTCTTCTTTGAGTCTTCGGTTGCATCCACTATTAGGGAAAGATAAGCCATTAACCCTGATGACTAGGGGATGACCCGAAGTATTAGGTTCATGGGTATTCACTATATTATTAAAAAGCAAAGTAAAATAAGGATATAGATGGACATACAGTAATACTAAGAACAATGACTAAACCAGTTCTCTGCATCTGAGGGCCAATTTTTAACAATATATATTGTATTAATTCAGGAAATACAGGTTAGTAATATATCAAGCAAGTGAAGAAGTTGAGAAGTAAAACAAATCTTTAATACCTTTACCTTTGTTTAAAATACAAAACTGCATACATTATTCAATATTTAAACATATAATTCAAATGTACCAAAGAGCTGTGTATAGTTCCTATTTTCAAAATGATTTTAAGCAGTAGGAAAACTGAAATTAGGTTAGAAAAATTAATAATAAAACACAGAACTGATAAAACCAGATGCCTAGGATTATGCATAATTTGCTTATAATTTTCTGACAATTAAGACAAAAAGAGAAACCTACTAATATTTATAGGAGGCTGATTGTCCCAATAAAATGTGACCAGAAAAAAGGCTTCTGATATATTTATTAATACAAATAAATGTATTACTGGGTATTAGAATTTTGAAAAATCAGAAATAAAAAAGTTAATAATTTGATACCTTAATGAAAAACTATAACCTTTTTTCACATCAGCATGTATGGGAAATTAGAGTTTTGGTAATCAACCTTATTAGCTAGATTTAATCGTTTTGAAATTGGAACTTACAAGGCACTCCATCAAGATCATCATCAAGACTTTTTATAGGGACTCCATCAAGATCATCGATGGGAGTAGCATCAATAGGAATTCCATCTACATCTTCCAGAGGTGCACCATCAAGCTCTTCCTCGATGGGGGCACCATCAAGGTCATCTGGTACATCCTATAGAAATGTGTACTATTATAACATGTTCCTTTGCTTGCTGAAGTCACATTGCTTATAAGATTAATTTGTAATCCAGCCAAGCCAACATACCCGGATACCCACACTACAAGGTACAATGTAAGAATATAAGGAGAATATATTCTATCACCCAGCTTGCTAAAGGAGTAGTCAGTTGTGTATTTATTTAATGTTTGCCAAGTGCTCATTGGTGCCAGGTACCATGTGAGGAAATGATGAGTAAAAACAAGTTTGGGTTCCCTGTTATACAGCCTGGTAAAGGTTTTTGTTGTTGTTTTGGGAGGTGGTGGGAACCAGGAAATCAGATAATCACAACAATATACACTTATCTGTAACTATGATAACTGCTACAGCAAAAACGCATATCATACTATTAGCATAGTTAAGTTTCACTGAAAGAGGTCAGAGAATGCTAAGTTTATGCTTGAGCTGTGATCTAAAGGGTCTCAGGCAAAGAGAAGTCCCAGAAAGAGGAAAGAACATGTATAAAGGCCAATGGTAGGTGGAAACACACATTTAAGAAACTGAAACAAGGACTATGTGGGTTGCAACAGTAAGGCCAATTAGGAAGATCCTGCAGGAGTGAAAGTGAAAACATAATAGCTGACTAGCAAGGCAGAATTAAAGATGAAGAATTCAGTAATAATTTAGGAGGTAAAAAAAGAAAACCAACAGAATAGTGATGTATATTATCTGCTATCATGTGATGCATCTTTTCATATGCACATTTACTTATATAGCTATCTTTAACAAAATAAAGTCATGCTATATATATTGCTCTATTATGTGTTTTTTCCCCAGTATTAATAATATATCATAAATCTTATTAAATAAAAACACTACTCATCAATTTTCACATAAGGACACAAGACAGAGAATTCCTGTTATATGCAATTTTTGACTCCTGGGTTCCAACAATAAAAACCCACTATTTAGTGGTAAACAATAGTATTTTTCACAAAGAAATACACTTCACATATGTAACATAGCACACCACCAAGAAACCTCCATCCCAGATACAAATTTTAAAAACCAAACACACAGTGCCTACCTCTGTTTCCTTTTCTTCAATAATATTTACAAGTCCTAAGAAAATATTTTGTAGTTTGATCAAAAATGGTTCTGGATAAATTGCCCAATCTTCCCATGCTCTGAAGCAAGTCATTACCCGTTGCTAAATAAACAGGAAACACAACAAATTTTTATTTTGGGCTATGTGTCTCAAATTTCAGTTTATGAGAATCACCATCAAGATTTGCTAAATTTGCCTTGAAACTGACAATTTTTTTAAACTTTAAAGAAAATAACTATATATCATTATCGTATTATTTTAAAAATTGTCACCTTCTAATTAAAAGAAAAAAGAAAACAAAAATAAATAAAATGAAAAATAAACAGTAACTATCTGCTCTTTATCACCTAAGGTCAGCTCCCATATCATTAGTACTACACATGAGCCACATTCCAGGAAACACTTACATAGAAACTTATGAAAACTGGAAACCTAAGTAGCCAAGTTCTGACCTAAATCCCTTATGGTCCAATGAAGTACTTCCCAATTCTAGGTAGAATTCACTTTACTCTTTATCTTCCCTAAACTTTTCTTTAAATTCTAACTTACAGTCAAAATTTAAGGTCAAAAACTTTTAAAATGGGAGTTGTCTGAATGCTGTAAAAATGGTCAGGCATCTTCCCAAACTAAAAATTTTTCTTAACAATGTCTTCTTTCCATGAAAGCACATTTACTTATTCAATAATAAGTAAAGTACTCCACTTGGCTTTTCTTAACACTGGTCTACAGCTTAAGAGGTCATAAAAAAAAATTGGTAACAGAATATACTTTCTAAACATGATTAAAATGTAAGTCTTTAATCTAGCCAAACAATATATACCATTATAAAACAAGTGATTCTTCTGGATGTTTTATGAAAAAAGACTAACATTTATAATATTTAAATAATACTTAAAACTAAAATTAAACACCTGACAAAATATCTTTAAAATTTTTGATTTTTTGATAAAAACAAAAATGACAGAATATTAAAAGAGTAATTTCTGTAACATCTAAGTTCTAAATTTATGTCTCATATTTGACCCCCCATCCACTCAAAACACTAGGGCAAAAATAGTAAAAAAATATAACGTACCTTAAAGTTTTCAGATTGTAAATGACCTTGAATTGTACGATAGGTGGCATTGAGGTCTGAAAATATCTGACATAACTTTGTTTCAAAACTGAAATTCAAATAATGCATTCTTTGAAATAAAATCTGTTTAAAATTCCTTTCTCTTTCAGTATACTAGACAATGAAAACCCCTCCCGAACTTAAAATACTTACAAATTAGTCAAAAATTAAAAATCAAGAACTAGGTGTTTAAAACCATAACTGAATTGCTTTAGCTCTTAATACTCTAAATTTTTCTCCTACAAACTCCCCAACAGTCCTAAATATTAGCTCCCTTTATTAGCAAGGAACTTTACACCTAGGATACATTGAACCATCTGGTCCAATTTATTTTATGAAACAGAAATCTTAGAAAAGTGACTCAAAAAAAAAAAAAAAAAAAAAAAAAAGCTAATAGCAGACCTAAGAATAGGACCCAGATCACTCAATTTCTTTTCAGAGTCACTTCCTAGGGAAAAGCTTTCCTGTGCCTAATTCATAAAATAAACACAGAAGGAGAGCTCTGGGGTACTGAAGAAGAGATATTCATTAATTAGAATACAGCAACATAACTTCCTTTTGCCTTAGGAAACATTAACAATGAACTAAAATCAATATACTGAGGATCAGAAGAGAATACAGACTCTATAAATAGTTAATGGTATATCTTTGGTCTCTTATGTTGGCCAGTATATACATTGTTTCAATTTATTTATTATACGAGTAGCTAGATATGCAATAAAAAAAGTTATCTTTAACACCACCTATTTGTTCTACTGTCAATAACAAAGGAAGTGATATAAAATCTTTCCCAAAAACTGGCAATTTAGCTTAAGTGTAAGCCAATTTTTTAAAACATCCGACAAACCATGAAGAAATTCAAATTAGTCTTCCCTCAGTAACCCTGAGGGGATTGGTTCCAAGACCTCCCATGGACGCCAAAATCCATAGATGCTCGAGTTCCTGATTGAAAAATGACGTAGTATTCACCTGTAACCTATGCATATCCTCCCATCTGTTAAATCGTCTCTAGGTTACTTATAGTACCTAATATAATGTAAATGCTATGTAGAGTTTTCATACTGTATTATTTTAAAAATTTCAAGGAAAAAAAGTACAGACAGAGCTTTTTTTCTGAAATACTTTCAATTTGTGGTTGATTGAATACATAGATACAGAGCCCACAGACATGGAGGGCTGACTATATTTCTTATTATTGGAGGATGTTAACAAAACAATCCTCTTTTCTGAACTCCTTACCCTTAAATGTTTTATTTCAGGAATACCATTATACTTACAATTTTCTATAATATGAAGCATTAGCAACTTTGGCTGAAGAGTTGTACAAAACATCAGAAACCAAATATAATCTGGCAATCTATAATACCAAAAGATAACACAAAATAGATTAGTATAAGGCTAATGTTTAGCTATAATTTAATAATGGCTACTAATTAGAAGAGTTACATGAACTCAGTACCACCAGAACCATGACTTGGGCAGGGATGAAATTTGTTAATTCATTTACATTTCAATTTGTTTGTAACTTGTATGTTAATGAACCTAAATTTCCAAGCAGAAGTAACATAAGACTGCATGGGAAAAATTTCATCAGTCAAGTTCTTTGTGCAAAAAGGAACCAATTCTAATCCCAAAAGATGGCAATTATCTCCCCTTTTCTTAATTAAATGTTCATAAAGAGAAATGCATTCCCATACCTTTTTAGGAAGGGGTGTCTTTAAGATGGACAATGACTCAGTAATGCAATCCACTATTTCTTCAGCAGCTTCAGCATTATTAAGACAGAAAACCATTGCATCTCCAATATCATTTTTCCTTGGAGTTAATCCCCGCAAGATTTCTTCCAATTTATCCCTCTGTCTGAACATAAATTGTTTTAACTTATAAATATTTAGATGCAATTTCAAATGTCATTGTAGCTTTTGCTGACTGATTTCTTTAAAATCTACTCATATAAAATCTGAAGACTGTAATGTATTAAGTCTGATTTGTGTTGTGTCCCCCAAAATTGTTAGAATTTTTTGAAGAACTTATATAAGAAAGAATATCCTGTAGAACTATTAAAAGATCTCAATGATGTTTTCAGCTTACAAATTAAGTAAATTTAAAATTATGGGCATTTCTTCAAGAGTCTTTAAGAATGCCCCAGTGCTACCATCCCATGATACTGAAGAACTTTCATGTTCTTTACCCCTCTTCTTTGAAGGAAGTCTATTACTTTAGCACTTCTGCCTGGGATTAGGACAGGCTAACTTTTTCTGTAAAGGAAAAGACTCATGCCTGTACAGCGGCTCATGCCTGTAATCCCAGCATTTTGGGAGGCCAAGGTGAAATCACAAGGTCAGGAGTTTGAGACCATCCTAGCCAACATGGTAAAACCCCATCTCTACTAAAAATACAAAAATTAGCCAAGCATGGTGGCAGGCACATGTAATTCCAGCTACTCAAGCGACTGAGGCAGGAGAACTGCTTGAACCCAGGAGGCAGAGGTTGCAGTGAGCCAAGATTGCACCACTGCACTCCAGCCTGGGTGACAGAGCAAGACTCTGTCTCAAAAAATATAGATAATTATTTTAGGCTTTACAGGCCATATGATCTCTATCCCACTGCTGGTATAGCTCCAAAGCAGCCAGACAACATGTAAAGGAAGAGGATTAGCTGTATTCCAATAAAACTTTATTTTCCAAAATAAGAGGCAGCCAGATTTAGCCTATGAGCTGAGTTTGCAAATCCTAGGACTACAGTGATTATGAACATATACCTTCAAAAGCAAATACACTCAAACGGTATTGCACTTCATTGGCAAATGCTCTCATAAACAATGAATGAATGCAACAAGTATTAAGATGTATAGATTGCAGTAAAGGTCACACAGGCATATCTCAGACTATGAGTTTGGTTCCAGACCACTGCAATAAACCAAATATCTCAATACAGCAAATCACACAAGTTTTTTGGTTTCCCAGTGCATGTAAAAGTTATGTTCATGCCATATTGTAAGTCTATTAAGTATGCAATAGCAGTATGTCCAAAAAAAAAATGTATATGTTATTTTAAAAATGCTCTCTTGTTAAAAACACTAACAATCATCTGAGCTCTCAGTGAGTCACAATATTTTTGTTGGTGGGTTTTGCCTCGGTGTTGATGGCTGCTAATTCATCAGGGTGTTGGTACCTTAAGGTTAGGGTGGCTGCAGCAATTTCTTAAATAACAATGAAGTTTGCTGCATCAAGTGACACTTCTCAACACAGGGGATTTCTCTGTAGCATGAGATGCTGTTTGTTAACATTTTACCCAGAGGAGAACTTCTTTCGAAATTGCAGTCAATCCTCTCAAACCACGCACTACTTTATCAACTAAGTTTATGTAAAATTCTAAATCCTTTCATTTCAACAATGTTCACAGTTTTTTCATCAGAAGTAGATTTCATCTCAAGAAACCACTTAATTTGCTCATCCCTAAGAAGCATCTCCTCACTCTGATATTAAAGTTTTATCATGAGATCACAGCAATTCAGTCGTGTCTTTGGGCTCTACTTCTAATTCTAGTTCCCTTGCTACTTCTACCATATCTGGAGTTACTTCCTCTACTAAAGTCTTGAATCCCTCAAAGTCATCCATGAAGGTTAGAATTAACTTCTTTCAAGCTCCTGTTAATGTTGACTTTATTTTACATACGAAGAAAAAACTGAAATGGATTTTTAAGATTTTTATTTATTTATGTTTAATAGAGACAGGGTCTCACTATATTGCTCAGGCTGGTCTTGAACTCCTGGACTCAAAGCTATCCTCCTGCCTCGGCCTCCCACAGCGCTGGGATTACAGGACTGGGCCATCACACCTGGCCCACAAATGTTCTTAATGGCATTTGGAATGGTAAATGCTTTCCACAAGGTTTCTAACTGACTTCTTCCCAGAACCATTGGAGGAATCACTATCTATGGCAGCTAGAGCCTTATAAAATATATTTCTCAAGTAAGACTTAAAGGTCAGAATTACTCCTTGATCAATGGGATACAGAATGGATAATGTGTTACCAGGCATGAAAACAACATTACTCTCTTTGTACATCTCTATCAGAGATCATAGGTGATCAGGTACATTGTCAATGAGTAGTAATATTTTGAAAAAAAAATCATTTTCCTGAACGGGTCTCAATAATGGGCTTAAAATATTCAGTAAACCATGCTATAAACAAATATGCTGCCATCCAGGCTTTGTTGTTCCATTTATAAAGCACCAGCAGAGTGGATTTAGTGTAGTTCTTAATGGTCCTAGGATTTTTGGAATAGTAAATGAGCACTGGCTTCAGCTTACCAGGTGCATTAGCCCCTAATAAGAGAGTTAGCCAGTCCTTTGAAACTTTTAAGCCAGGCAGTGGCTTCCCCTCTCTAGCTGTAAGTTCTAAATGGCATTTTCTTACAATAAAAGGCGATTCTGTCTACACTGAAAATATAATGAAGTGTAGCCACCTTCATCAGTGACCTCAGATCTTCTGGATAATTTGCTACAGCATCTACACCAGCACTTACTGCTTCACCTTGAACTTTTATATTATGAAGATGGCTTCCTTCCTTAAACCTCAGGAACCAATCTCTGCTAGCTTCAAATTTTTGTTCTGGAGTTTCCTCACCTCTGTTTCCAAAGAACTCAAGAGAGTTTGGGCCTTGCTCAGGATTAGGTTTTGGCATAAGGGAATGCTACGGCTGGTCTGATCTTCTATACAGACCACCAAAACTTTCTATCAGTAATAAGACTGTTTTGCTTCCTAATCAATCATTTGTTCACTGAAGCAGCACTTTTAGTTTTCTTTAAAAACTCTTCCTCTGCATTCATAACGTGGCTTACTGTTTGGTGCAAGAGGCTTAGCTTTCAACCTGTCTCATCTTTTGAGACGCCTTCCTAACTAAGCTTAATCATTCTAGCTTTTGATTTAATGTGAGAGAAGTGAGACTCTTCCTTTCACTTGGACACTTAAGGCCATTGTGGGATTATTAATTGGCCTAATTCCAATAGTATTGTGTCTCAGGAAATAGTGAGGCCTAAAGAGAAGGAAAGATGATGGGAAAACAGCTGGGCACTGGAGCAGTCAGAATACACATTTTTCTATTTAAGTTCATCTTCTTTATATGACCATAGTTTGTGGTGCCACAAAACAATCAAAGATCGCTGATTACCATAACAGATATAATAATAATGAAAAAGTTTGAGCTACTGTGAGAATTATGAAAATGTGACAGACATGAAGCAAGCACATGCTGTTTGAAAAATAATGCCAACAGACTTGATATACGGTTGCCACAAACTTTCAATTTATAAAAAACACTATCTCTAGAGCACAGTGAGTCAAAGCACAATAAAACTAGGTATGTATATATTTAATTCTATACTCTAAAAATGCTTTTAGCCTTTTTTTTCCCATGAGGTATATAGGATGTCCTCTGAACATTTAATAAATATGTTTCTGTTTCTTAAATCAACTAGCTGCACTGTACAATTGCTGTGAGACCAATAATAGCACACACTTCATGATGGCCATCTCACAGCTCACCACACATGGCAAATTAAGTGTGAAAATTATCATGAAGAGGCTTTGCATAGCCAACATTTGATCCCACTAGCCACACGATAGTTTTTCCTCTTTATATTGCATTCAGAGAAGAAAGAATTCTAGAGGTCCCCAAATAGTTTCTGTAAGAATCTAAAGTACTCCAATGCTAAAGAAAAAAGTCAATCATATTTAAGAGATCATCACTAATTTTATCAGGAGAAAAATCAAGGACAATAGGGCACACACCTATACTTGCTAAGATGTTTAAAATTATAAAGCACATGAAAGATGTTGCTATTTTAAACATTCACAAGTGAAAAAAATTTATTTTAGGGTTAACATCTTAATACGACTATTAAAGCAACCATTACAGTGTTTTATCTAATATATAATAGAAATGAAAAAGATCTTACTCTTCTTTAAGTGCTCCCTTTTTACTAGGTTCCTCTACAAAAGCTTCTGTTTCTTGCTCTTCTGACATTCCATGCAAATATGGATTTAATGGTGGTGGCCTCCAAAAAGATCCATTTTTGAACATACGAAAATCTTCTGTCCGCCATTTAGTTGGAGAATCTCCCTAACAAACATTTAGAGTTATTATAAATGTCTAACAACTCAGAGTCAAAATTTAAAAAGTAACTGATTCTACTTGCCTGCAGAATAGAATAAAGCTTCCACCTATAGTAAACATGGGCTGGTGTCTGGTTTTCAAATAAGAACCTAAACAAAACACAAAAAAAAACATTAAACATCATATTCTCTAAAAAAAAGAGCTATCTTCAATTAAGTATAAATAAATGAAAAACACTATTTGCCTATTTAGTTATAAGTAAAACAAGGATCTCTAAAAACCCCACCCGCTGCCATCCAATACCTATCCCCTTTCCCTTACCCCAGCCCTAGACTGCCTAAGTGACTGGCATTAATACTCAAAAGACATGCATCATGCCGAGTCTTATGATCATTTTCATTAATACTGTATCTGGCAATGGAGAGATTTTCCCAATATATAATTAGAAAAGCAGTGATTTTGCACTACTTAAAGAGTGTTAGTATCTTAGGGTACTGTGACAATTCAGATGATTAAGCAATTTATTTTAAAACTCATTTGTTCAACTGTGTCTCACTTATGATTATGCCATTGAAAAAGCATAATGAAATCCTCCTAGAGAATGCTAAAAAACAATACTATTTAATTAACCAAATCAAAATCTTACAGAAAATTGGTCTCAATACATTCTACTCTGATTACTACTGCTTCTGATTCCACTGCAGAACTAATCCCATACTTTTAGAACTTTATTCTTGGAAATATTTTTAATTCCAAGAAATTAAAAGTAGTTTTAAAATGCATGGCTGAAGATAAACCAAATACAGTAAAAACATACATTGTAATAATATTTGGCCTTAAAAAGAAATCCCGAGACATGCTATAATATAGATGAATCCTGAGGACATTATGCTAAGTGACATAAGCCAGTCACGAAAGTACAAATATTGTATGACTATAGTCATATGAGTTTACCTAGAGTAATCAAATTCCTAAGAGCCAGAAAGCAGAATGGCAGTTGCCAGGGGCTAAGGAGCCAGAGGACTGAGGAGTTCCTGTTTCACGGCTACAGAGTTTCAGTTTCGGAAGATGAAAAAACTTCTGGAGATGGATGGTGGTGATCATTGCACAACAATGTGAATGTACTTAATACCACACTTAAAAATGGTTAAAATGAGAAATCTTATGTTACATATTTTTTAAAAATGCACACCTGAACATAGGATTGTTGATTTCTCTGTTCATAATCATAGCTTCAAACATTGGCCCTTCACGTACAACAAACTCTATCATTCGATGTATCAGGGCGAGCAAATTCCTACAACAACAACACAGTTAAAGAAAATGGATTCAGACCTACCACTATATAAAACTACACTTGACCTAAGTTACTATAATTGTGCAGAAAATGATTATTCTGATGGCTAACACCAAATTTAATACCAAAAAAGTAACCTGGAGCATATGTTAATGCCTTGTGCATTAAGAGGGTGTGGGGCAGTGGGAGTAGGGAAGTGGGAGGGGATGGAAAGGTGAAGGAGGGTAGGAAACCACAATACAGCCTCATAATAATATTTAATTTTCTAAATGTCACTTAATTTTATTTTCCAAAAGCAAAACATTAAATTATAAATCACAACTAATTGGAAAGCTGCAAATATTAATATATAAAATCAGTAACTTAAAAGCCTACATGTTATTATATCCATCTAGAAATTTATACACTATCTCAGTTTAAAACAAAAAAATTCCTAAACCAAGCACTTTTGTGGTGCTACTGAAATGTTATAACCATGGCTATAATTTATAAAAATGCAAAACTATTTAACAAGTTTAAGGCCTGATTTAATAAAAAAAAAAAAAAAATCCATCCAACTCCTGTGTTTTTCTGGTACACATATACCAGATGGAGTTTTTATTAAATCTGACCTTTAATGAGGCAACATCCCTTTGGACCACACTTCAAACTAGTTCACAATTCATGAAATGGAGAATTCTGCCTGTATATTACTTTTTCCCCTCCAAAACAACAGATTGATATGCCTATACACTATCAATCAACAAAGAAATTATGTTGCCAAAGCCTTAAGTGAATGGAGTACTACTCTTTCTAAAATATTGCAAAATGGGGCACATGATGAGATGTCCTTCCCATTTTCCGTAACAATTATTTTCCAATATTTTGCCAAAAATAAACACATGTGAGTAATTTTTTAGTACAGTCATTTTACTGACTGAACTCATTGTAAGTCTTTATTTTTAAAATCTGAGGCTGGGTCCTTAAATTGTGATACTTTATTAGACTCCAAACATAATTTTGGACATTGATCATGGTGTCAAGCAAAAATGACTCAGCTTATTTATAAGCTGCTTTTGATTTCTTATTTCACCAGTCCCCCAGCATATACAGTTGGCAAGTAACAATCAGGAAAAGCAAAAGGATATTGGCTCTTGGTACAAGGCACACACTAAATTACACCTTCAGCATTCCCAGCTCAAATTACGTTCATATAACTGCTAGAATGTAAATAAATATACAGTTACAAAACAAGACAGACTTTTTTGGCCCTATAATGCCCTATTTCAGAGTACATGAACAAGAAAATCACCTATCTCATGATGACTATAATTATTTTCTCATAGCTTTCAAGCAAACCTACTTCAAAGAAAATCTGTACATAGTAAAAAAAATTTAAGCCTAAAGGAAGTAAAAAAAAAATTGCATCACAGTGTAAATCTTTAAAAAGGGGAAATTATACATTTGAAACTACTAATTCAACCTCAAATTGTTAAAACAAAAAAACTAAAAGCATTGCTTAATTTTTAATTTAAAAATTATTTTTCTTTCGCAGAAGTAATTGCTCTGCAAATATGCAGTTCTTCAGCATTCATATGGTTAATGACATTATTTTGAAGAAAGGGAGATAATGTAAAGTTATGATTCAATTCCAAAACTCCCACTGATATGAGCCAAATTAAAGCTAAGGGAAATTTTATGTATAAGACTAATTACTCAGTGAACAAATGTTACACATCCAGAAACTTGTGTGAATTAAGTCAAAAGCAACTTGACTTCAGTATTAAAGATAGATAACAAGTTTAAAAACAAAGGATTCATCCTAATGGTGAGTGAAGATTTTCGGCAAAATGCATTCTCAAAATATTGTTTAAAAATAAGCTAAGCCACATGTAAAGCTACTACTAGATATGTGCTTTTTTTTGAATGCTACAAAAATACTATTCTGTGAATGTTTTTATCAGTGGTGAAATATCCACTATAGTTTTAAACAGGCTTGTAACTGATAAATCTATTTTTAGAAAATTAAAAGTTTGTTAAGTATTTTTAAAATGTTTCATGATTATTTAAAATCAAAATCTGACAATTAATTGTTACAACTTGACTTCAAGATTACTAAAGAACTGTAATCACATTCTTCTTCCTTAAGGGATTGTGTTTATTTTAGAAATGGTGACTTTTCTATTAGAATAAAAGAGTGTAGTACAAAAAGATGATATGTTTAAAGTGCATTATTTCATTATAAAATGGTAGTTATCTTATTCTGGGCAACAACAACCAAAAAAAAAAAAATTGTCTCTCAGTTATAATAAAACCACATTTATTGGAGTCGATCGTACCAATGTCTGGTCAAAAACTGTATACTTTCCCAATCCATCCCATGATGTTTTCCTGGTCCCCCGCTGCCGCAGACAGTTCAGCTGGTGTTGCTCACCAAGGCCAATGTCAAAGAGAATTTGGTATTCTTTTGTGTTCATTTATTATTCAACCAGTGTTGTGTTCCTGTGTTTGGGAAAAGGCTTAGCTTGACTGAGCAAGAGCATACCTATAGCATGAATTCTTCTGCTTTAATATAGTGTGTTGAAAGAGAAAAAAAGGAAGAAAGGAAAATAAAAGAATTCCAAATATCTTTGTTATCATGAAAAGAAAGTTTCTAGTATGTCCAGTGTTCATGACAATAACAGGAATTTCTTCTTAAAATCAATTGGGGAAAAAAAAAACCACAAAGCTATGCCTTAAGTAAGGAGAACTCAAACCAAGGTTATATATTAAATGCAGATAATTCAGAAAACAAAAAAAAATTAACAACAGATTGGGTCAAACTGTAATGTAATCTGAAATTTACGATACATTTAAAACACCTATTTTCCCATTGCAATAGTCTATCATTATTAGACCAACGACTCCAAATCAGAGCTAATAAATACATTCTAACTACTCAAACTATAAACATTCCCTACAGTGCTAACAATAAAAACAAAAAAGGTATTGACATAAAATTTCAAAGTATACAAAAGTTTGTTAAATTTGACACATCCCCCAAAAAATTACTGGAAAGGAACCATTGCTCAGTCAAGATACTACCTTTTCCTCAACACCATTTCTTTTTAAATTCAGAAGGGGATATTGTCTATATTTAGATCAGTAATAATAAAGAAAAACATGTACCTTTCTGTTGGGATAACCACTTTGACTATGGCTTGCGACAGAGTCTGTATATGAAGTCACATCAGATAATAAACATAGAATATGTGAGTATTGTTAACAAGTAACAAGCAAAAATATACATATGCATTGAAAATACTACATATCTAATCACAAGTTTTGCAGGCAATCACTGCATTTGAAGTCATTATACAGTAAGCAATTACATAAATGCAAATGGATGTGTTCAGTGAACAATAAATGTTCACCAAATGCAAAGAATCAGAACATTCCTGCCAGAATGCACACCAATGCACTGAAATAGGTACTACACTGAGAATTATCAGATAAAGATTTTAATTTGTGAAATAATTAACTGTTTGCCTGACCATACAGTTCGCTACTTTGTTCCCAAGCCTTTAAAACCAGCCCTGTCATTTTAAGTGTAATTAATTCATAATAGAACCAACAAATTCTTTTAACTTGAAATTAAGTTGGTTTTATGTTTACTAGAAAGAAAATACTCACCCTTTGCTTTTACTAGATTAACTTTTTTAAAAACCACGTAAATCTTCTCAAATATTCTAATACCTCAGACCTAACTGCCATCCAAACAATAACTACTTAGGAAGTCTTTCTAATTGAAATGTCACTTAACCAAATATAAAGTATCACTTACTCAGAACAAAGTAAATTTAGATACTACACTTAAGCAAATCTGGATACAACACTGGACAAAGGAAAAAAAAACTTAACGAGTGGTCAAAAAAGGAATGGTAGCCACAAATAAAAATATGACCCAGTATTTCAAACATAGGGTTTCCATGGGCTAAGGCAGGGAACACATCTACTTATTTCTTTAAAAGTTGCCATAAAAGAATTACACACACTTTTTCTATAAAATTGTTGAAAAGAAATACTACCACAGCTTTAGTATTTACAAATTAGATTCAGGCTTATGTCCATTTTTTAAATTACCTTCTCAAAATCCTCTTTGTTTTTAGGTGGTGGTAACATAGGAGCATTAGGGTTTTTTAACCGCTCTCTAGGCTGCGCATTAAAAGGCAGTCCGGATGGAGGTGGGGGAAGCGTATGTTCCATCATAGAAGGCGGAATGTATATTGGATGTGGAGGAATAGGTACAGCTTTACCCCAACCTAACTTCATTTCAAAAGACATAATCATTTTTCCTACAAGAAAGAAATGAAAGGTCACTTTGTTAACTCTCGAAAGTTTCCAAATAAAACTTTTCTGGTAAGTTGAAATAATATTAATTTTAGCCCTTCCATTTCAGGTCCATTCCTTCCTGGTTTTTGTAAATACATTTCCAAACCAAAGAAATATCTGAATTTTATAAATGGTTAATAAAATCATTCTTACCATTCAAATTTTTTAAAGCTCTTTCAGCATCTCTTCTATTCATAAAGGCCACAAAGCCACAATTTCTCTCTCTGGCTCTTTCTTCATCAGTTCTAGGCCACATAATTTTCACACTGGCTAACGGTCCAAATCGTCCAAATTCTTGGCACAGCATTTCTTCATTCATCTATTAAAAGGGATAAAAGATTTTTATTATGCAAAAAAGGGAAAAGAAAAAATTATTTTCAGAAAACAAAGTAGTTTTTACAAAACTAAAAGCAACATAGCAACACGCTACAATTTTCCATTCAAGTACCAGGAACTCTACACAAGTAAAATCCCGTGTGGGGCATTCATAAATCATTTCACACTAGAAATATTCTGGTTTATTTATTTAAGATGCCAGGGTGGAGCAGCTCAGTGGATGGAGAAATCAAAATCACTTTTATTCCCCATCTTCCTTTGCTGCATGGTCCTGGATCTAAGTAAGGTGTTTTATAGTAATGATTTATTTAGGTACTTAGTAACATTTTTCAAGCAGGCGTGGTTAGTACATTTAAGTTAAGGAGGAAATATTTACTGACAATGAAGAAAAAAGAGAATCTAATCATCTGTTCTCCCTCTAACACTCAACTACCCATGTAATCAAATGCAGAGAAAACAAATAGCAAAAATGCAAAATATAATTTTTATTAACAGCCTAACATGTATTACCACTACTACATTCTCCATTAACATAATCAACAGCATCAATGAAGGAAAAGAATTAAAATATAAAATTTTATCTATTATACTAGTTTGCTACTATGAGAAGAAAAAGGGATTCCACAAGGAAACAAGTATGCATCAGAAGTGGATAGTCTCAAAATATGATTCATCACTGGTAATACTCTATTTAATAATAAAATCAGCACCTAGTAAAACACTGCATATTCAGAGTTCAATCTCGTTACCAAAAGAGGAAACAAGAAGATGTGGCAAGACAATCTGGGCCATACCAGTAAGTCTCAGCTTTACAAAACAACTCTTGACTATCCAGTTCCATCAGATTTGCCAGCTTCAGAATCTTGATTTTATTTGTTTGACTGACAAAGTAGTTTTCTTCCAAAAGCATAAAGCGTATCAACATTCATCTTACTCAATATTACCTGTGGATTAATGTTTCCAAGGTATAAATTAGTAGTGCTTGGATCTCCTACATCATGTGAGCCAGGTGCGTAATCATCAAGAACTGGGGAAATAAAAACATAATTATAACCTGCAAAATATAAAGTTGGGACAATTTATCGATAAAAAGAGCAAAAAACTGTATTACCACCAGATGATCTATTTCTCCTTGAAGGCGCGTCCACTTAAAAGGGAGGAAAGAAAACAATTACTAGTTTTTAGAATACAGTAGTCCCCTCTTATCCTTGTCTGTTTTTCCCAGTTTGTTACCCAAGGTACATGTAAGATATTTCTGAGACACAAAAAGACCACATTCACATAACTTTTTTTTTTTTTTTTTTTTTGAGACAGACTCTCCATCTATAGCCCAGGATGGAGTACAATGGCATGATCTCGGCTCACTGCAAACTCCACCTCCTAGGTTCACGTAATTCTTCTGCCTCAGCCTCCCAAGTAGCTGGGATTATAGGCATGCAGCACCATGCCTGACTAATTTTGTATTTTTAGTAGAGACCAGGTTTCACCATGTTGGCCAGGGTGGTCTCAAGCTTCTGACCTTAGGTAATCTGCCCACCTCGGCCTCCCAAAGTGCTGGGATTACACATAACTTTTATTTCAGTATATTGTTACAATTGTTCTATTACTTATTGTTCTATTACTTCATCTCTTACTGTGCCTAATTTACAAATTAAACTTTACCACAGCTATAAACATGTAGGGGAAAGGATAGTATATATCCATGGTTTCAGGCATCCACTGATGGGCCTTGGAATGTAACCCCCCATGGATAAGGTGGAAACTACTGTAATTAATCAAAAACATACACATTAAAAATAAATGTCACTTACTAGAACGACGCTGACCATCAGAATCTGATTGAGGAGGTTCAAATCGACTTAATCTGCCTTTTGTTTTATGTCTCTCATCACGCTCTTCTTGAATTCTGTTGAAAATATTTACAATCACTTAAAAGGAGCCAAAATTTATTCATTCACATTTATGAATAGCACTTATCAAATTACTATCATCAAATAACTAGAAATATATGTAACTAAATACTGGTACTGATAACCAAGATTAGAGAGTCCCTCAGCTATACTACAACCATGAAGAAATTTCTGATATATCACACTACCAATGGAATACAAAGCCTACTTTAAAGGTGAGGAGGAAATTCAACACTAAAACCACTGAATTTGTTTCTTGCTAAGTCTGACTGCCCCTCACTCCCATCCTAGTGAGTATACTGTTTCCACTGCAAACAGGATTCTGGATGTTAAATACATCAATTGAACTGAATCTTCATCATGCAAACAACCCAGGTGCTGGATTAAATGCTAATTTATTTTCAAAGATACCCCACAAAATATCATCATAATATCTAAAACAATCTCATAGAAAATTGGCTAACAATAACTGGTACAGTATATTCTTTATACTTGCATCTGTTTATGTATCAGCTCAATACACCTATGATAATTATTCTCCACATTATAAAACTTACTGCTTTAATTCTTCTTTGAAGAGCTCCAAATTGCTTTTTTTCTTTTCTTTCTCTCCTTTTTTAAGTGGCTATAAAAGATACGTACGACAAGTTATACTTCAAACAAAAGGTTAAGCAAAACTAATGATTCAATAAGAGCCTTTTTATATCATTTCAGTACAAATTATATGTTCTAATTATTTAAATTAAAACGAAAGAATGCTGGCCAGGTGCGGTGGCTCAAGCCTGTAATCCCAGCACTTTGGGAGGCCGAGGCGGGTGGATCACGAGGTCAAGAGATCGAGACCATCCTGGTCAACATGGTGAAACCCCGTCTCTACTAA